AACCATAAACCAAGTCCCCCACTAAACCATGTCCTTAAGCGCCACATCGTGCAGCACAAATGTGTGGAAAACAATAATCTTTTGCCTTGTAAAATGTGTAATTCAGGACAAAACCTATTAACTGGATGAGAGCAGAGGCAGAAAGGACAATTTTTGCCTCATCAGTGGCAGTAACTGCAGCTCTAATAACAGTAACAAAGTAGAGACTTGATTCTTGTTGTGGGAATTCAGCCTTAAAACCAGACAATGACCTAAACCAGAATTAAATGTTCAAATCCAGACCTTTTCCTTATTTTCTATTTTTTATTTATTCTATTTTTTTTTCTATATACCTATTTATAGTTCAGGGGATCCTTGTCAGGCTCACTTTTTTCACAAGTGCATCAGAAAAAGGAGGTTTTCTGTTATGTTCTGGATACTTTCATGCCTTTAGATGTCCTAGAATGGTTTGGGTTGGAAGGGACCTTAAGGATCATCAATTTCCAACCCCCTGCCATGGGTAGGGACACCTCCCACTAGACCAGGTTGCTCCAATATGATCCAACCCCAGCTTTGGGGAAGAACTCATAGGGAAGAACAAGGCACTGAGACTTCCAGAGCTGGAATCTCCCCAGTTCACTCTCTGTGCCTCTCTCCTTCCATCCTTCATTCCAACAACTCCCGTACCACTGCTCCTCTGCATCCACCAATTTTCCCTCCTGATTATCCAAGTGCACCATCACTGAACCGAGCAAAAGATCAGCGGTGTTTTGTCATGGAGTTAAGTGGGATGAGGGATTTGTTCCGACCTCCGAGTTTTCCCGGTTTAGCCTCGTTCCCTCGCCGTTGTGTTACATCTGTTGCTCTCAGCGTGGGCTCCTTTAGCTCTGTCAACATCGCTTTCGACTGCCACTTGTCATCCCTGCTCCGAGCTCGGCTTAATATCTCCAGCTTCCATAAGCAAAGCTGATCGCTGGGATTACTGAGAGCATTGGACACGCTTTATTGATGGGGTGATTGACTTATCACTGCCTGGGAGACGAAGTTTTTTATCTTGGCTTGGGGCTTTTATTTTCCTAATTCAGATGCGACAAGACGTTTCTAGAAAAGGCAGGGTCAAATCCAGCGATTTGAGAAATCCAGGCTTAATGCCACTAAAATCTACAGCTTTTGCAGATGTATCCAGACGTAACTGATGCAGGAAGGCACAAAGTATTGAAAATTATTTCTTTATGGCTTGTGATTCCTCCCTGTGACGTGCCAGGTACTCACCAGCTCAGGACACGTAGAGCTGCCACTGCAGCGCTTGATGAAAACATCTGTTTTATGCCAGAATTTGCTCAGTCCAGGAATTCGAGTCTCCCTTGGACTTTAAATAGACCGAAATAAGGTTGTTGGGGGATTAGCTGGCTTTTTTTCCAGCTTTCTTTTATTGTTGCTATAATATCTTTTTTATTAAATTGCTCACAGGTAACAACACACAGATATGTTGCGACGAGCCCTCCGAGCTGTGCCGTTTTCAGGGAATCTCAGGTCGCCAGTATGGATGTCTGGGAATAGGAAATAAGACTCAGCCTTGTTTTTTGTGAAGCATTCAGGCCAACTTGTATTTGTCGCTGTGCTCCTTGCAGTTGACTGCTTTGGTGTATAAGGCATTTGAGTGGAAAACAGCATTTGTATCAAAGAAGAAAACACTCTTCCAACTGTGCGATTGTCCAGTTAATCCAGGATTGGAAAGTTAAGAACTGCTAAAAAAAAACAGCTACCTTTTTTTGTCTAGCATCCTTCAGGAAAGCTACAACCCCAGCCCAATTACTGAAAATAAGAGGGAAAAATAGCAAAAGGAGGTAGAAATATGAGAAGGAAGGGGGGAATTCTCATTGAGATCTGAAAGAAATTGGAGCAAATAAAGAAACTTCTGAAAAGAAGATTTGTTGGGTTTTTGGGTAGTTTTTTTTTTGTTTGTTTGTTTGTTTGATTTTTTTTTTAAGTGGAGGCTCCTTAAGCACAGATGAAAAGCTATTCTAAATCAATAATTCCTAGACCTTTTTAAAATAGGGAGAAATTTAGTTGTACATACTCCAGACAAATATTCAGGCTTTCTTCTTCAGGTGATCCCAACGATAAGATGCTCTTTGTTCTTCCCTTATGGTTTTGCTGCTGTGTTTTCATGGAGATTGGGAGTGACAGAACAACTGGGTGCTAATGGGATAAATTAAGCAGTCACTGACACTTTGTGAGATGTTATTTAATTAACTCTCTTTTCCTGAACCTATCAATGCTTCCAGTCAATCCAAAACAGAAGTTAATAGTAGTTTTGATTTTAAGAATTATGTTAAAAACATAAAAAAAAACCCCAAAAAAACCAAATAAAAAACCAACTTTACTTTTCATACAGTTTTTTTTTAAGTATGTAATAAGGTGTCACACAAATTGTTACAGTGAAGCCAAATCCACACAGCTTAGGGAAAAAGTAATTGACAGAACAACAGGATAACCTTTCTAAAAACACTTTAATAGCACAGCTATTAAAAGGTTATGATTTAAGATGATTCACAAAACAAACCTGTGAGCCAAAAGGAAACTCCTTCCAAACAGCAGAAGAAATTCCCTGAAGACACAGTGAGCCCAACTGGATAATCATCCCCGCAGGGACGAGGTGCGAGCACCACTGCTGAGTTCATTTAAATTCTGGGAGAGATCTTTCATTTCATCTTTGGAGAAGGATCAGGGCAGTTTTCCAAAGCAGGAACTCACTGACAACTTCACCCCTAAGTCACCTTTGCCAAACTCCTCCAGCTACACAGGCCTGACCTCTGTGTGTTTCGCTCAGCCTGGGATAAAATCGCTTGGAAATGCCAGACAGTATGTGGTAAAGGAGCCACCTCTTCCCCCTGAAGGATTAGAAACGTGAAGAGTGAAGTGTTTCAATAAAACTTTGGCCCTTGGGGCTTTTGGTCCCCATACAGCTGGCTGGATATTTATCAGATTTATAGATGTTACCGCTACGAGAAGGAACAAAGCTTTTAATTATTTGGCATTTTTCCCTTAAATTCAGAGAAAGCAACATCTCGATGACGCACGACATAAAAGACCTGAATTCCATCCCGTGCCAAAACCCCACCCTTGCTCCCTCTAAAAGCTGTAACAGATCAATAAGCAGCTGGTAAGAACAAGGACCAGCCCTGCTGCACGGAATAGGAAGCTTTGCAAAAGCTCAAATTCCTCGGAAGAAAAATGTCCCGGGAGAACATGAAACATTATTATCGTGCGAATAATACACTTATTGATTAAGCAGTATTTCTTCAGCTCCAAAATGCAAAACCAGCAAGATGTAGCCTGCAAACTGAAGCAGCCACATGAGTTTTATCTCACTGTAATTTTTATGGTTGCTGCCCCTTGCAACACTTTGCCTGTTTTATATTGACATATGTTTATATATTTCTTTTCTTATTTACTTTCATGAGGCTCGTGCTGATGGTAAATATGATTTGCACCGAAAACTATTGCTAATTTTTCACAATGGTTTTTGAAGTGTAATCTGTGATTCTTGCAGGATTAGCCCGCTCTTTCTTCTCCACAAAAAAACCCCCACCCAGCAAGACACAGTGTGTTGTACATGCAGCTGAAGATTTTGCAGACAAGCAGACAGCTGTATTCCGTTATCAGTATGTTTTTATGTCCTTTCTCCTAAGGGATTTTCTTCGGAGTCCACAGAAATAAATGATTATCAATGCAGCAAAAGATCGAGGAAACTGCTCCGATAGCAGTTCAGTGCTGTAAAACCCTGAAGTTTATGGAGGCTCAGGTGGCCCCTCAGCCCTTTTAAAGCTTTTTTTAGCAGGGCCACTGGTGCAGAACTACATTTCTGAACAGGCAGCTGGGTTGCCAAGCTCTTGTTAAAATGAATTGTTGGTTAAAGGCTCTATCAAGAAAATCCTCTTTATAACTCCTTTTGCGAAGCCAACCACCACGTAAAAGCTGCTGTCGCTTCGCAAATAAAAAGCAAACCCCTCCCAGGTATAGTTGTATCCTGGACTGCTGTATCAAAGCACTTTTTTTTGGTGAATCTCCAGTCTCAGTCTGCAATTTGTGATGTTTTGAAGAGAATTAGTGGCTTTAGTGGCAGAGAGTTGGTGGGTTTTATTTTATTTATTTCTGTGTGTGGTATGCTGGGCCACTGTGTGGCTACAAAGGAGGGCACAGACCTGCGAGAAAATCATAAATTATTAAGGCTAGAAAAGTCCTGTGAGAACATTGCGTCCAACCATTAACCAAGAACTACAAGTTCACCATTAAACCCTGTCCCTAAATCCCAAATCCACAAGTTATCTGAGCAATTCCAGGGATGGGGATTTCACCACTAAACCCTGTCCCCAAGTTCCACATCCACACTTTTTTTGAGCGTTTCCAGGAATGGGGATTCCACCGCTGCCCTGGGCAGCCTGTTCCAATGCTTGACCACTCTCACAGTAAAGAAATTATTCCTAATATCCAATCTAAACCTCCGCTGGTGCAACTTGAGGCCGTTTCCTCTCCTCCTATCCCTTGTTTTTTCGGAGCAGAGCCCGACCCCCACCTGGCTACACCCTCCTGTCAGGGAGTTATAGTGATAAGGTCCCCCCTGAGCCTCCTTTCTGCAGACTAAAGCCCTCCAGCTTCCTCAGCCGCTCCTGGGGGTTCCCCAAGTAGGGTTGGGAAGGGAGGAGGACCGTGACGACGAGGAGGAGGAAAGTGGGAACACGCACCATCCCCCTGCGGGGGCTCCCGAGGGGTGGCGGCGGCCGCGCCCTGAGGCGGGAGGTGCTGAGCGTGGGAGGTGGGCGGGGCCCATCTGGGCCGTCCCCTCCTCCCATTGGCGGCCGGGAGAAGGGGCGGGACGCCGCGCCTCGATGCACCCTGGGAGTTGTAGTCCACAGTGGCGGCAGGCGGCGGCGGAACTATTGGAGGAGGACTACAAGTGTGGCGGAGAGGAGCGGTCACGTGGTGTGGGGCGGGCGGGGCCGCGGCGGTCACGTGATGTTTGGGTGCCGGCGGTGACGGGGGCGCGGCGGCAGGTGAGGGGCGCGCGCCGGGCCGGCCGGGGGGACACGGGACACGGGGACAGACAGACAGACAGACAGACAGACAGACAGACAGACAGATAGACAGACAGACAGACAGGGCTGGGCTGGCACAGGGGCGGTGTTACACAGGGACAGGGCTAGCACAGGGCGTGTGCGACATGGGCACAGGTTTGTGTGTGACCTGGGGACTTGGGGACAGGGCTGGCCTGGCACAGGGGGTGTGACATGGGGACAGGTGTGCGTGTGGCACGGGGACAGGGGTGTGTATGAGAGGGGTGAGTGTGACATGGGCACATGGGGACAGGTGTGTGTGTGTGTGTGACCAGGGGACATGGGGGCAGGGCTGGGCTGGCACAGTGGGGGTGTGACATGGAGACAGGTGTGTGTGTGACATAGGGACATGGAGGCAGGGCTGGCCTGGCACCGTATGTGTGACAGGGGGACAGGGCTGGGCTGCACTGAGGGTGTGTGATGTGGGGACAGGTGTGTGTGTGACATGGGGACTTGGGGACAGGGCTGAGCTGGCACTGGAGGTGTGTATGACATGAGGACAGGGCTGGCACAGGTTGTGTCTGGCACAGGGACAGGTGTGTGCGTGTGCCATGGGGACAGGGCTGGGCTGGCACTGTGTGTGTGACATGGGGGATAGGGCTGGCACTGTGTTTGTGTGCGACAATGGGACGGGGCTGGCCTGGCACTGGGTGTAACTTTGTGACAATGCGACAGGACTGGCACAGGATGCGTGTGTTGTGTGTGACCTGGGGACATGGGGACAGGACTGGGCTGGCAGTGGGTGTAAGTGTATGACCTGGGGACAGGACTGGCACAGGATGTGTGTGACATGGGGACACAGGGGGGGTGTGTGGCAATTAGGGACTGTGCCTGCCCTTGCCCAGGGCTGTGTGTGTGACAGTAATTTGGTGGCAGGGCTGGCCTTGCCCAGGGCTGTGAGCAGGGAGGGACACACATGCCAAGGGTACTGTGTCCCACAGCTGTGTCCCATGTCACCGGTGACCAGGTGAAGGTGAGATGTCCCTGCACCCACTTTGCCACTGTCCCACACTTACTCCACACAATGAAACCCCGATTTATCAATCTCCAGCACAACAACAATGTTGGAAATTGTTCTGTGACTGTGTTGTAACCTCACAGGCTCAGTCTGAACCTCACAGAGGGTATAATGATGTTTATTTACTATTTTTTTCCCACTTCCATGCTGAGTCAGGAAGTTTGAAGCAGTGGGATGGATGTGGAAATACAAGGAGAGGAAGTAAAACCACTTTTAATAGTACAAAGCACCGCTTTCTGCAGCGGTCCTCGACTGCAGAAACTTTTTTTTTGTTGCTTTTGTACTTTAAAAACTGTTTGTGGTTGGAAGCTTTTCATAAAAGCTCCCCTGAGCTGCGTGGTACAATTAACCTCCGGCATCTGGCACCGGGGTGGACTTTTCCAGGGAAAACCTCCTGTTCCCACAGAACTCGGTGCCTTTGTGTGCAAATCAAAAAGCAGAAGGTTTGGGAAACCTAAAAGCACATTTCATTCTGCCACCAGCACAGTGAAAATGTGCTGCAAAGCCTCTGCTTTTTTGCATTTGGAAATTTCCGTGACATTTGGAGCTCGAGGTGGATCCTCATGTCTGGAAGTGCTGTGGAAACAAGCAGTTGCTTGTTTGTAAACCCCGGGATAAGGCAAGCGTGGGGTGGTGGCCTCAAGGGTTGCTTTGTGCTTCATCCTGCTGAATCCTGAATTTTTACTGGCTCTGTAGTGGGGGCTGGGAAGGATTGACTAAAATATGGAGGTTCTTCTCACTCCATTTTTTTTTTTTTATTCTGTAGCAGTAAGGTTTATATTTTATCCAGCATTTATCCCCTTTTCCAGGCTGGTATTTCCCTTTACAGTGGGGCTGTGAACATTCAGTGTCTCATCCTTCCTTGGTAGTCGCTGTGTTGCTGTGGTCAAGGTGCCAATAGAGGTCTTTAAATCACAATGACTTGGGCCAGCTGCTCTCTGACCCCTCAATGCCTTCCTGCCCCACCATCTTCACCAGCTGTGATGTCGTTTTCCAACTCATCTCAACTCCAGGTTGGATTCTAGACTTCTTCTAGGGTACTAATCATGCAATCACAGAATGGTTTGGGTTGGAAGGGACCTTCAAGATCATTTAGTTCCAACCCTCTGCCATGGGCAGGGACACCTTCCACTAGATCAAGTTGCTCTAAGCCCCGTCCAACCTGGCCTGGAACACTTCCAGGGATGGGGCAACCACAGCTTCTCTGGGAAACCTGTGCCAGGGCCTCTCTATCCTCACAGGGAAGAATTTTTTCCTAATATCTAATGTAAATGTACCCTCCTTCAGCTTAAGGTCATTCCCCCTTGTCCTACCACTCCATGCCCTTATGAAAGTTCCCTCTCCATGGTGTGAAGGCTGATGGTTCAGATCTTTAAATCCCCAGTGACTCAGGGCAAGTGCTGTCTGACTCCTTGTTTCATTCCTGCACCACCGTCTTCGCCAGCTACAGCATCCTTTTCCGTCTCGTCTCATCTCCAAGTTGGCCTCTGGACTTTTTCCAGGGTGCTAAATGTGCTAATTCCCACTTTCCAGTGATCAACCAAGCAATAAATAACCCCACTTGCTCTCTCCAGAGCCTCCCACCTTGCTGATTTGTTTGTGTTTATTAATGCAATTAAGACTTAGCCCAACCACCACTGATGAGGCTTTGATGGACATGGGAGAGGCTGAGCAGTGCAGCCACATGTCCTGCTTCTATCCAGGCTCCTGATCTGGATCTCCGTCCCTGTTTCCTCCTGACTTGACTCAGAGGGTGGTGAGGCCCTGGCACAGGTTGCCCAGAGAAGCTGTGGCTGCCCCGTCCCTGGAAGTGTCCAAGGCCAATTGGACAGGGCTTGGAGCAACCTGGGCTAGTGGAAGGTGTCCCTGTCCATGGCTGGGGGTTGGACCTAAATGATCTTGAAGGTCCCTTCCAACCCAAACTATTCCATGATTCTATGATTGCACATTATTCAGCTGAGATTCCTACAGAAACTAGAACAGAGATTTCAATATTAAAGTCCTTTATTCCCATCCTCTCTTGTGCAGGAAACGTCATTCCTTTTCTCACAACTCTCTTGATTTATTTTTTTTTAATTAAAAATATTTTAAACCTCTCATCATTTGCTCCCCCTCATGCACCTCACAGGTGTGACCAGGTCTCCAAGTCTTCTCTGGACCTGGAGAATCTTTACTGGGAGAGGAGGAGAAATAATACTTCTGTGTCTTGAGAAATCTGCACATTGATATTAGAGCACTTCAAATCTAATTAAAAAAGAAAGAAGGAGTCAAGCTTAAAATGAATGAATCTGTGCTTCCCCTTGCTTATAAATATATATATCAAATGGTATTTTGAATTGTTGGTTCTTCAGGGATTTCAGGGATTTTTAAATAGCAAGTGTGAAAGGGTAAATAATATCAAGATAAAAATAATGCTTTCGATTCCCTGCCTGTGCCACGAGCACATTCTGCTCGGTGGAAATGGAATGAACTGTTGAAAAAAGTCTAATTTACTTTTCCCATCTTTGTTATCCCCCTTCCCACACTTCAGCTGGCTTGGGAAGCGAGGTGGGTTGGTGGATTTTAATGGGCCTTCTGAGAGTTGCTGGTGCTGCAGGAGACTGTGGGAATCCATGACACCAGAGGGTTCTGGGTGGGCAGGAAGAGCCTCTGAGGGTGTTTTATATAGGGTTGGAGTTGTCATCAGGGAAAAGACTGCTCTGGAAGGGACTTGTGTGTCTGTGTCTGATCCCTGTGAGACTGAATGGATGGATGGATGGATGGATGGATGGATGAATGACTGACTTGGTCCTTCCACACGGTTGGTCATGTGTTTCCACCCGTGGTGTCAGTCCAGGTTGGGGGATGAACAGATCGAGAGCAGCCCTGCACAGAAGGACTTGGTGGTGCTGGTGGATGAGAGGCTGGACATGAGCTGACAACGTGCCCTCACAGCCCAGAAACCAGCCATGTCCTGGGCTGCATCCAAAGCTGTGTGGGCAGCAGGAGAGGGAGAGGATTCTGCCCCCCCCTACTCTGGTCTGGTGAGACATACCTGGAGCACTGCATCCAGCTCTGGGGTTCCCAGCACAGGAAGGACATGGAGCTTTTGGAGCAAGTCCAGAGGAGGCCACAAACATGATCAGAGGGCTGGAGAACCTCTGCTCTGGATGGGAGAGCTGGGGGTGTTCAGACTGGACAAGAGAAGGCTCCAGGTAGACCTTAGAACCCCTTCCAGTACCTAAAGGGGCTCCAAGAGAGCTGGAGGGGGACTTTGGACAAGGACCTGGAGTGATATGGCAAGGGGGAATGGCTTCAAACTGAAGGAGGGTAGATTTAGATTCAATATTAGAAAGAAATTCTTCCCTGTGAGGGTGGGGAGGCCCTGGCACAGGTTGCCCAGAGAAGCTGTGGCTGCCCCATCCCTGGAAGTGTCCAAGGCCAGGTTGGATGGGGCTTGGGGCAACCTGGGCTAGTAGAAAGTGTCTTTGCCCATGGCAGTGAGTTAGAACTGGATGATCTAGGAGGTCCCTTCCCACCCAAACCATTCTCTGACATTAGAGCGTGTGCATTTGCCTACAGCATGATCCATTTGGTCTAAATATACTCCAGCTCCTTAAACATGAGCTTAACTCACAACTCAAGTATTGGGATGTGCCTCTGTGGTGGTTCTCGGGGCGGAGGAAATACTGCAACTTGTCCTACAGTGGCATCACCAACCTTTCCAACTCCATTTTATTTTGCAGCAGACTTTTTGACACGTACAAATACAAATTGTGTCCACAAACCTGCTTTGGTGTTAAGATTTGCAAGGTTGGAGGGAAGCTCGTGCCCATCACTTGATGTTGAGTGCCCAGAAAGCTTCCTAGAAAATTTGTGCTCTTTTCCTTCTCCAAAAGAGCTGGAAGTGTGTGTCTTTTGCTGTCAGAAGGGTTATTTGTGG